TGCCACCATCATCAAGCTTTCAACAGTCTTGACAGGCTCAGGGCTCTCTTTTTGCCCCATATCTCTCCAGAAATTACTGTAGCACCATAAACTATAAATCACCTTTAAAGGTGACCTCCAACAGCAACAAATTGACTTATTCCCTTTTGTTACTGATTAAGAGGCAAAGAAAAAAATCAGAGATTTGGAGTTGGATAGTCTGGTTAATATTTGGGTTTTTTTAAGAGCTTGGTTATTTTGGCTGTTTAATTTATTTCCCACTAACTTTATCTTCCCTAATTTTCCCATGTAACTCCCACATGGCTTTTCCCTAACTTTCTATGCCAAATTAATTTGCCATAAAATGGCAAGTGAGTTGCAGCACATAAATCAGATTTCTGGGCACAATTAGGGATGGGTATGTGTCTCATGTTTGCATACATAAACAGATCCTCATCTTTCCCCCCTCTTCTTGGCATTTTAGGGCTAAAACAAGAACTAATCCCCACTGAGAAAAATTGCCCATTATTTTCTTCAGTCTAGGCATCTCTAGATGAGACCAGGGACACCTCACACTGACACAACGAGGTGATTGTTCTCCGCTGTCCAAGAGCAGGACTGTACACACTGGGGTCTCAGTGACTGAAATTCAGGGCTTGCTGCATTCAGGTGGCCTCATACCAATCAGGTGTCAGAAAAAAGGGTTCTGAACTGCACAGTGACTGAAATTCAGGGCTTGCTGCATTCAGGTGGCCTTATACCAATCAGGTGCCAGAAAAAAGGGTTCTGAACTGCGATGACTGAGACTTCTTCCAGCTCTGTCTGGAAGAAGGAAGAATGAACAAAGACCACCTCAAAACCTCTGGTTGCTGGAGACAATGGATTGCATTTTGGACTAACATCCATAGGCATCACAGCCTTCAAACCTGGCTCTGACAGACAAACACAAAAGCTGCAGTACTCTCACTGGAGAGCAGGAGTAGAGGGAACTCTCCAGGTCCCAGCAGGACAGAAGGCACCCTTACTTTCTTCCTATGGCACATCCTACTGCATCTCTATTTGACCACACTTATCAGAAATCTCTGTGATTTTTATAAATTTTCCCCTACTTACAATCAATACTTGCACATTTCTGGTATCATACATTCTTCAGCATCAATGTCCTTTTTGAAAGTCATCTGAATGACATTCAACAATTAAAAATAACACTTAACCTTTGTGCCAGGGGCAATATTTCATTTTAACAAATTGGAACTATAAGAAATCAATTAATCCACAGAGTATTTTTCCTGGTTTATGTATTCAATTGATTTTTTTACATATATTATGTAAGAAATAGATAATATGATTATTTCTTTGAGAAACATGCAAACTCTGACAACAGCCAATTTCTTAATAGAGCTAAGAAACATCAGGTGAGTGAATTTAGAAGCAAGCAGTGTCTGTTCTACATGCAGTTTTCCTTCTACTTAAACCATCACTATTTCATTAATTTACAATTTCTTAGTAAGGAAGAAAGTGATTACAATGCTTTATCACTGACCAGAGGACACCAAAACTTTTTTGTGGTAAAAATCTTAATACTTTGCTGGTAATTAAGGCAGATTTGTTAGCGTATGTACATAGGTTCAATACTTTGTTTACATATGATACCCTGAGTGCTATTTTTCTGATATTATCACACATTACTCTAGTGCCAGAGTTAACTGTAATACCTACATGCCTGTACCAACTCATGTTATAAAAGAGACGTTGAAGGTTCCAGAAAGCAAACCAGAAAAACAGGGTAAGATTTTAAATTATTTTACCTTTTAGTTAAATAAAAGAATTCACTGTATCTTGAGAACGAAGGGTTCAGGTTACTATCATTACATCTTGTAGAGCAGTGCCATTTTAAAATTAATTTTTTCAATATGCTTTGCAATACAATCAAACACTGTGAGGAACTGACTGCAGTTTTCCTATTGACTTCAAAGGCGACCTAAGTCCCATAGCTACTTGTAATGGGGGTATCTTGAATCCTTCATTGCAGCGGCTACAATAAACCAACTTAAACTAATGCACCCCAACATTTCATTATGGAGACATTAACACATACAACACAGAAATATTAGCCAAAAATAGAGTCATTTTAGAGTGGTTACATTTCAAGGAATTGGAGCAAGTGTGATCTCCACTGTTATCTCTGCCACATTGTTCCCAAAAAAGCCCTTTAAAAAATAACAGCATCAGATAGTCCCTCACTCAGGCTTTGTAGGAATTGCACCAATTTGTAGGAATCCTGCCCTACTTGCTTTCTTTCCTCTAAAGAAAGTGCATTTCACCATCACCATTTTGGGTGCATGTGCAACAAGTATACTAAGTCTTGAAAGTATCTGAAGAGCCTGGCTGTCCTCTGGAGCTACATTTGTATCATGCTTACAGTCACTTAAGCTTTCTAGATAAAAAGAAAAAACAAAACACAGGGTACTCACCAGCTGCAGCAGGTCCCTGCCAGTGCCACCAATGTGCTCCCTTTTTCCTGCTGGCCTCCTGACACTGGAGATGCTTCAACCAGCTGGGACAGTGACCCAGGCCACCAGGCAGCTCCTTCTGGAAATGCTGTTTCCCCTCAGTCTACCATTTTGCTGCTTTCCCACACCTTTTCTCAAGGCTTTTTTTCCCCACCTAAGCCTCAGGGCCACTTTCCATCAGGGCCCCTCACACAAGGGGACTCACACAGCCCAGGAACTGCACACACTCCACAAAACCCCAACTCTCCTGACTGCCCCAACCCTCACACAAGGGGACTCACACAGCCCAGGAACTGCGCACACTCCACAGAACCCCAACTCTCCTGACTGCCCCAGGGACTCCCCAATATAGTGACACAGTCTGTGGTGATTGGGAATGGGGATGGGCCAGCCCCATCCCCAGTGGGTGCAGCTGTGCAGGACAGGTGAGCAGCATTGGGGGTAACGAGCCATGGAGTGCTGAGGGGCACAGAGCAATCGCCAAAGGGAACAGGGGGCACACAGGTGCAATGCATGTGGCACGGGGGGTGTGAAAGGTTGTACTGAAGAACAATAAAGTGGTGATGCTTGAAGCCTTCTTCGTTGCCAATCATACCTCCACAGTCACTCCAAAAATCACACAGAAGGGTTACCCACCCCCTGTTTGCTGATGGTTTAATGCTGCCCCCCAAAATGCCGCTCTGCTGGCTCGGACTGCCTGCCTGAGGGACTGGGTCCTCAGGCTAGAAGGGACTGACTGCATGTTGGCAGAAGGACATCACAGCTCCCTGAGCTGCACATGCTGAGGGCTGTGTGTAATGTTGATAAGTGGCCTTCTCATGGCTGGTGAAGATACAGGGGGACAAAAGGACTAAAACCCACATCAGACGCTAATTGTGTTTGCCCAAGGAGATGTGCTGTCATTCCCTGGGAGGCCTCCCCGCACCTCACAAATCTGGGCTAATTTTAAGCATCTGGCAAAGGCAGAAATTAAAAAGTATAGAGTTCCCACAAGCACCTGGGAGTTGGAGCATTTTTTCACCTTTTGGCTGCAGCAGCATGCTTATAACATAAACCAGCCATTGCATGTTGAGTGACAGTCCCTCAGACAGCGAGGACATATGCAGCGAAAGAGACAGAGCAGCATCGCTCTTGCTGTGGGAGGTTTTTGGAACAAAGCCTCATTCTTCACCTCAAACCACAGTTAGCAATTTTACAGGAGAAATATCTTGTTCACTTATTCAGAATTTTAAAAAAGCACTTCTTCATCTTTTAAAAAAAGCCTTAGGGAGTTGGTGTATTTGCATGGAAAGGTACTGTCATGGAAAGGCGATACCTAGATCATGGAAGCAAGCATGCTGATGTCTCCCTGGGTGTATGGCAGCTTTCTGGAAGGAGATTCAAAATGTCCATGAGATAGACACTCTGTCAAGTCCATTTTAACAGGGAGAGGGCAAAACCTACAATTCATTTACCCGGTACCCTGGGCGAAAAATATTTACTTGAAGATTTAGAGTAATCACCGGGAGTCTGGTTAGCAAGGCCTGAATACTTTGCTGACTCATAGTATACATAATGAAAGCATAATAAAATGGAATATATCTAGTTCATGAAGTCTCTTGATATTGTGTTGTAATTCAGTCCACCAACAGCCTTTATTTAAACTTGGATTCCATGAGCCTGTTATAATGAGCTAAAAAGTGCACAGATAAGCAGTTATTTCTGAAAAAGTGTTTCTCTATCGATACATATTTTGCAAAGCCTGTATAGCTTAATTGAAATGAAATGAGCATGGGACCCTAGGGTTTTTTAGGTCTAGTGAGGCATTAAATACTCCAAAAGCACAATAAAAATGAAAAAAACCCTGACTTCTCCAAACTACTGAATCTTATTGCTCCAGCTGTGGGCAAAACACTCCTACTACCCAGGAAAAAAAAAAAAAGGCAGAGTCTCAGCCATTCCACTACTGCTGCAGCTTCCTTTGCTTGTAGGCACACCCAGAGCTCACTGCTAGGCCATGGTGGTCTCGGGTTCTGCCCTCTTCCTGTCCCTGTGTAGGGCTGGAGCATTGCTGTGCTTTCAGGAAACTCTTTGTGAAAACTTCCATCACTGCAAGCTCCATTGCCCTTGTTAGATGCCTGCCAGGGAATCATGGGAAGGATCCCCTGGCCCTGGTCTCACTTGGTTGGGTTTCTGACTGGCTCTGAGGCAGGGGCAGCGCTTCCTCGCTTGTGGGGAGAGCAGAGGCGCCGGAACCGCACGCAGCGTGCAGGCACTGCCTGACAGCGCTGCGGCCACTGGGACGCCCGCGCCTCTGAGCCTCTGCCACTCCGCTGCTGCTGCTGCTACAGCAGGACAGGGAGCTTTGCAGCCTGAGCTGCCCTTGTTCCTCTCTGTCCGTGCAGAGAATGCAGCGCAGAAGAGAAGGGCAGCAGGGCCCCGCGTGTCCTCGGGCTCAGGGTTTGCGCCGCTTCAGCTCCACGGAGACGCGGGTAACGTGCAAAAGCTAAACTGTTTATTAAAGGAAAGCGAAGGGAAGGGGTGAGCTGGGAGGTAAAAAGGGGGATGGGCAGGGCCTGAGGGCTGCAGGGAGGGAGATGCCACCAGGGAGAGGGATGGCAGGAGCTCCTGGAGCTTCCCACAGGCTCAGCTGTGAGCAGCTAGAGCTGTGCCTGGAGCTCCAGCTGGTTCCTTCTGCTGTGCAGCTGGTCCCATCTCCAATGGGAGCTGGAAATTGCTGATGGACGTCAGTTCTTCGGATCCAGCAGAAGAACGAATCCTGCAGATCTTCTTTTGAATGCCAGCTGCATCAGTGTGCTCCTGCAGGATGGGCTCTGATCTTCCCCGATGGCTTGAAGAGCTGAAAGAGAGAGGACCAGAGTCACGGCCAGAGGCCAGATTGAGGGAATGCAAGGAAAGCCTCCTGCCAGGGCCATCCCAGCCGGCTGTTGCCATGGCCAGGAGGGAGCGGCAGACACGGGCTTGGGCCGGAGGGTGCTGGCCACAGATCCCCCACGTGTCCCTGAAAGCTCTCCGGGCTCTGCCCCCGCCGCCCCTCGTCCGCACAGGGAGCAGAGCCCTCGGCAGCCCGGACACGGACTGTAGCTGCGGGGCCGGCATGTGCAGCTGTCGTGGTTTTACCAGGAAGTGAGTTTCTGGAAAAGTTGTTGTCAAACCAACCAGTGGCCCAATTAGAAATTTGCACGTGTTGTGACCACTGGGGACCTGGATACATTTCTGAGAACACACAGGTTAAAAGCAGAGGATTCCCAGAGTGTCTTCGTCTTTTGGAGTCTGGTGGTGAGTGGAGTCTGACCTCCTCTCCCCCGCCCAGCTGCGTCTGGTTGGGGGAGGGGAAGGCCATGCGGCCTGTGGGAAGGTAGGCCAGAGCCCTGCAAGGTGCAGTGGTGGAGGAGACCTGGGATACTTTGGGCAGCCCCCCAGGAGGGAATGATGGAGATTCTGTACTGGTTTGAAATTTGATATCTTGTCCTGGCACCATGGCCAGGAGAAGAGAGGAGGGGGGACAAGGAGCCCAGCCGTCGGCAGACCACAGCCGAGATTTTAACGCTGTTGGTGCTGAAACAATGGTATCTGTAAGAAACACTGATCCTCTCCAGCTGAGAATTGAGAGGGGACGGAGGATGGGCAGATGAGAAGAAGGCTTGAGTGAGTGAAGAAATACCAGCAGATGAGAAGCACCCTAGATGGAGGAGATGATTTGGAGTAGACTTTTGGCTGGACTTTCCTCTTACATGGCCACAGGACAGAACCAAATCTTCCTGTAATGTAGAGACTGCATCTTGGGGGAAGCGGTTGGCCAGAACCCAGGAGTGACAAAGCTGTTGTGAGAAGTAGAGGGAACAGAGACTGTGTGGTGGAGCCCTCTGCCTTCAGCCGAGAGGGATCTCTGTTCCTGAGACCTCCAGGCCCCAGGAGATGAAATATGGGGGGGGGGGGGGGGGGGGGTGCCCAGAGCAGTTTGGATCCATGGCCAATGGTGAGAGCACTGGACATGGAAGGAAGATGGGCACCACAGCAGATTCTCTTCGGGCAGCTGCCACGTGTGATACAGAAGCACAAGAGGTTCCCACTGTGTTTTCTGGGAAGGCCCATGGTGGAAGAGGGAGACTCCTCTCTCCTGATGAACTGGGGGAAGTTGTGTGGAGGATGGTATTGGATTGAGAATTAAGTGTTAGAGGGGATTGAGTGTTAGAGGGGTGGAGGGAGGAGGAGGAGTGTTTTGGAAGTATTCCACTGTGGATTGCTGTGTGTTTTTTTTTTTTCCTGGTTTTTTTTTTTTTTTTCCCTTTTTTCTCTTTTGTTGTAGATTAATAAATTGTTGTGTTTTTCCCTCCATTCCCAAGTTGGAGCCTGCTTTGTTCTGTTTCCGGCTCACATCTCACAGTAACCATTTTGGAAATATACTTTCATAGGGGCACTGGCATTGTGCCAGGGTCAAACCATGACAGCAGCTACCCTTCCTGTCCATGTGTCAGGGCCCGAGGGGAGAAGCATGAGGAGCACCCAGTGTGCTACCTCTGAGCCTTGAAGGTGGAAAACTGAGGAGAAAAATCTTTCACTGGATCTATTTTGTGGTATTTTTTTACTTTATTGCCAAACTCTTCTGTTTTCTCACAAATAATGGCACTGCTCTTTAACTGACACACTGCAGTGATATAGGAGTGATTATATAGGTCTAAGAAAAATAACTTTTTGAATCTTCATCCATAAAAATGTGCCCATTTTTAGTTAATTTGAAGAAACATGTTGGCTCAAATAACATTTTTTAACCTTTTGCTTCCCTAGTACTTTAAAATATATTGTAGAAGTTACAAATATATTTTTCTGAGTAATTTTTCTTATTATATTGGCTTAGTCTCACTATAGCACTGGGCATTTGAATTCAAGTTACTTGAAACCATCAGTGAAATTAAATGTGGTAATATGAAGAAAGGATATTAATAAGGCGTTGATATTTCTTTTTCTGGTAATATTGAAGGAATTTAGTCAGTATACAAAGAACACCAAACTATGACATTATCACCTGATATTTTCAATGGCAATAAAGTGCTTAAGTGAGGGACTAACTCTGAAGAGCTTTCTTTGTACTGAGGAACTCTACAAATCTAAATGGCCATGTGGATCATAATAATTTGGCACAAGACCAGCATCTCAAACACAACATTTTTATTCCTAGCTATTTCTCCTATCCAACAGGACTGGAAGATAAAGACCATATTTTGATAAAGTGATTATCAAATAATAGATATTTTCAGAGGCCCCACAGGCTCCAGTCCTCCTGATAGAGACCAATCCTTGAGCTCCCATTTGTTACTGGAGAGCTTCTATCCTGTGTTCTTGCTGCACTTGTTTATAAACAAATCATAAGCTTGAGGTTTTGTTTTAACACACAGTTAAACACACATTTTAACCAGTTAAGCTTTCTTCATTTTAGCAGAAAATAGGCTGCTTCAGTCTAGTTTCTAAAGTCTGTTTGTAGAATTACTTGCAATTCTAATTCTAGCATTGCTTGCAGATTGGAGAAGCCATGCGCTGATAAATTGGTTTGATCCCTGTGAAACAGAAGTTAATCTTGGGTGGGGTAATGGAGTGAGAAGTTTCCTTTAAAATCTTACAAACTGACCTATAAAATTTCATCCTTACACAGGATAACTCCCTGAGCAGCTTTATATTGAAATACCAACACCTGTAGAACATCAAAGAGATTATACCTGTGTCCTCACTGTTCTGCATTTTGTGAGGTTCCTGCCAGCATCTCTAAAGCCTGTGCAGAGGGACTACATGGAATGGTGTTCCTGTTGTGGCTAGAGGCTCTTAGTGGAACTGGGCCTTCATCAAAAGAGTCCTTTGAGGAATTTAATCACATTTGGGTTGGCTTAATGTACTTCTACACAAGTTTTTCGCAGCAGGACCCTTATGGAGATATATTGGTGACACCTCTACTCATTTTGACTCTGACACAAATGAACTTCAGTGACTTTACTGAACAAACAAATTCTGCAACTTTTTTCAAAGCACAACTCACCACTTTGACTTCACATTGTGCCATAAGTTGAAAGAGTGCATAGAAACACTATGCAAGCCATATCACCTCCTGAGTTGTTTAACAAATTGCATGGTCAGCAGCTCCAAGATCCCACTCCGTGCATAATTAACATCAGTAGAGGTTAATTACAGCTACCCATACAGCAATCAAGCAGAGGGTAAAACTAATCTGAGCAGTTTAATTATTAAAAAAATTATGTTATAGAGTCAATGTGATAATCACCATGCAATAGAGTTTATACCTTTTTAAAACCACATTCTGAAATTTTACCTGTTCTGCAAGATTTATCTGCAAGAAATTTTATAAAAGGTGTTGTAAAATCAGGTAGATAGGGTGTAAATACTCCTAACCACTAATAGGAACACAAGCAGCTGCACAAATAATGCAACAGAAGAACAGGTCAATGATGAACCTTTATCATCTGAAAAGAAAATTTATCTAAATTTGGTTGTGATGATGCAGGGGTTTTCACTTCACAATTACTGATCTCCAAAGTGCAGTTGCAGTGCTTTTTCTGTTAACCCCCTTTATCCCACATTCTTCAGCCCAAGCTAGAAGTCTTTCAAGATCTTACTGTTTTTTCCCTGTCACAAAACTTGGCTTTAAATTTTTCAATGAATGGAGAAAAATAGATTGTGCTGTGTTCTTTTTTAAATGCTCTTGAAACCCTCTGTACATGGAGCAGCTAAATGTTACTCTGGTAAGCCATTAGAGTATCTTCAAAATTAATTTAATGCTTTATCTCTTCACAGAGAATAAAAAAAAAACAGTATGAAAAAAATGAGAGGAAGGAGTCTGTCTTTTAAGTCCTTGAAAGCTCATAAGACTAGGTTGGCTTCCTAGTGCATGTAATTTTTACATTGTTTTAGTTGCCATCTGAAATTTCCAGTGAGTCTATAAAATTACCTGGTTCATCTAGATGCAGGCATTCAAGGTGCTATGCCTCAGGGATTCATCACCAAATAGATTAATTCTGTATCGCTATTTAAAGATTTCTTACACTAAAAAGGTGAAATTATTACTGTGCTGCAAGATCCTTCCTATGGCACTTCCAATTTGCTGTTCTAGCTGTCTTGTCACTAACTTCAAATGCTGCATTTTGAGAATGGTACTGGATACAGGAAAAAAAGAGCTTGAAGTTCTCAGAGAACGAGATAAGCCTTCAGATGTGCTCAGTTGGATAACCAACTCAAACATTTGCTCGTACCTCGTCAGTTTTGGCTTCTGATGCAATTGAACCAGAGAACAAAAAACTTCAGAAATAGCTTTGTGAAATACTCAGATGTCTCTGCAGCATACTGGAATGGAAACACAAAATAGGAATCTTCAATCCACGTTGACATAGGTTTTCTTAAACAGTACATAAGTTACACATTTTACAGCAGGATTTGACGGCTCCATGGGTGCTGGAGGGTGTGTGCAGTGCCCTTGTATTGACCACATGTGGTAAAACTTTTCAGAAATCAGCATCTGGGGGAAGGATCTTAAAGAAGTGACTCATCAAATTCCTAAGGAAACACTATTGATTGATTTGTCTTAGTCCAAAAGACTACTTCTTTGCTATATATATATATTTATAGCAGGAAACTTTTTCTAAGAACGCAGAATTTACTTTGCTGGCAATGAGATTTACTACAAAATAATCAGCATGCTTCTGCTTATTTCAGTATTTTAAAAGTGTTGGTTAGTAGCATAGTTAAGAAATACTCCCTTCCTCATCTGGACAGATTTCTAAACTTTGTGAATGTGTTTGTAAAAAAAGAATTTCATTTTTTCTTTCCTTTATAAAG